AGTGATTTAAATGTTCATTTATCAATTTCATTAGTGCTTTATATTTATTTCCCATTGCTTTCTGTATGTAAAACTATAGTTATTCTCTATAACAGGTACTGTGCGGGTTATTTGTGTATCGTTCCAGTCACAGTATTGTGCCTTTTTTGTTATTTATTGTTTGTTAATATTTTTGGGTCTGGAACAGATAAACTGGATTTACATTATTTCCTATGGAAAATATTGCTTCAGTTTTCGTCGAATTCAGTTTTCGTCAGAATCTCTGCAACGAATTAAAAATGAAAACCGAGGTTCCACTGTAGTGCGCTAAAAATATTTAGCCAAGACAGGACTCACAGCAATGGTTTTAAGTTGGAAAAATTCAGATTCTGGAAGGATATAGGAAAGCACTGATTTGGTAATAGAGCTGTGGATGAGTGGAACAAATTCCCGAGTACCGTCAAAGAAGTTAAAACATTGTGTAATTTTAAAAATAGGTTATATAAATACATGAGTAGGTGTGGGTGGGTGTGAGTTGAACCTGACTAGCTTGTGCTAGTAGGTCTGATGCCATGCTCCTCCTTAAGTGGATGTGACTTGGACCTGACTAGGTTGGGTCAGTAGGCCTGCTGCAGTGTTCTTTCTTATGTTCAGTAAACAGAGGCCAACACAAATTTTTCTTGCCATGAAATACAGCAAATCTTTAAAATGCAGACAATAGTGACACTGAGGAGGGTCAAAATGAGGATCTTTTCCTGGTTTTGAGGGGGACAACAATAATAAGACGAGGAATGAAACCAGTGCTAGCTCAACACAAGATACCAATGCTATCCACCTCTGGTTTTGCTACTCAATAAAGGGGGACAAAGAAGGTTCGTTACTAAGAAAATGGATAGCATGTGAAGTGTTGTTAATGATGACAGTGGAGAGGAGTATATGTATGAGGAGGAGATTACAGAATCAAAGTGATTGTGAGGCAGAATATTTACTGATCAAAGCAGTGTGGCATCGTACTAGGTTTATTTCTCATTCATGTGCTGTTGCTTTATAGTAACACATCTAGACCAGATGACATTGCTGCAGGAAATAGCGATTGTAAAATTGAAGGTGCATACATGTGTATTAAAAAATCACGCGGTGATACCACCACGAAATATGACAACAAAAGCTGTGACAACATGAGAAGCTGTCACCACCATTTATCTGTAATAAGACAAATAAGGCTCCATAAACACATGACCGCCATGGCAGTGAAAGTGATCCATTCTGACTGAAGCCTGGTGCACTCTCTCCTGATACTATTCCTGCTACAAACAAGAAAAAGGCACAGCAAATATACTATGTATATCCACACATAATCAGAAAGCCAAACAAGCAGATACCAATATATCTAGGGTATGTGGTACTCTGTTGTGCCTTAAGCCATATTTTGAGGAATATTAAACCTTGAAACAAATGTAATATGACAATCATTACCTTACATAGCGTTACAAGACAAAAACAATCATTAGATACAAGTTAAACCATGTTTTTTGTACAGATTTATAGTGAATACTTATGGTGTTATTATGGTGCAGTGTGTTTCCTGAGCAAATCATAATACTGTACTAATTATTACCTCTTCAAATTAAGATATTTTCACTGCAAAATATGGTACTTAGTGTTAACAACTGCATAAAAAAGTCTGAAAATCCCACTTTATTTGGCTTACAAAAAAATTATTGCCTGACTGCCACTGTTGCTAACACTTCATCAATTTTGGCCAAATTCAGCACACAATAAAACAACAAGCTTTTATCAGATTTCACTCATAATAGCATTATTTAATTCATAAAAATGCACTATTTCAATTTTTAGGATTTTTTTCTTCAAAATCTCCCCTCCCCCCCCCTTCACACACAGGAATTTCAATTTTTGGGTATACCAGTTAATAAAATAAAATGCAGATATCGTTTGCTTACTATGAACATAACTATGGTAACCAGTGAAAAACAAAAGGGACATTGCCTACTGCCCCATGCTAAACAGGGCCTAGTACCCATGTTAGGCAGGTCATACTTCACCATGCTAGGGGTAGTCTGATCTGGCCTATTACCTTATCACATACTGTCTAGCATCTTTAGCCTTATTTCTTGGACTCATATTGTTGTCTTCTGCCTTACTACTTGATTTCATACTGTTATCTTTGTCTGTTAGATGTGCATCAGTTTCAGAACAGTTCTAGTCTGTTTGCTGATGTTGTCCTCATTTCATATGCTTTATATGCCCTTTTACTATTAGCCTTTGCCTCTAAACTTACTTAAAAACCACAGCATTTTGCACTTTATTCTTTTTGGCTGGTATTAATTTGCCTGTGGCTACATTTTCTCCATATCATGCGCTCTATAATTTCCTTGCATATAATGAGCACCCTCTCTGTCTTGTGCACTACTGTTTCTTCATTTCTCTTTCCTGCTGCACTCCAATTATGCACATATCTGGAGAGGTAGGTGCCTTCACTTCACAGGAAGTGGGCGAGAGGATCAGACAGAAGGCTGGTGAAGAAGTTACACTCACTGGCCACTTTCACCCAGACAGTGCCTTCCTAAAAACCACACTATTTACTCACACCCCAGAAATTGTTTTGAGGTAAGCAATCACACTTTTTCTCTCACTTCTTAAATACACTGATGATGCCATGACTTTTTACAACTTGTGCCACATCCCATCATCATCGTCACTGTCATTGCTGTTTTGTTTTTGTTGGGGATGAGGCTACTAGGGGCAAGAAAAAGTTTATGCCTTATTAAGCCCTGTTTCCTCTAAGTTTAGGGAAAAATGTGTTGCCCAAATATTGGCGAGAATTAAAGGAAACAAACTTTCCTCTGGAAAGAGAAATGGGAACAATAAGTTCCCACTCATGACAGGTGGATCCTCCTTGCCGAAAGTCTGCTAGAGCCAGCCATGCACTCTTTCAGCCACCTCAGTCAACAACATGCTTTTCAAAAGCCTACTAGGGGCTGATGTATGGCACCCCCAAAAATTGCCCAGAGGCCTGAATGCTAGGACAAGCATTCCAAGGAAAGAAAACACAGAAAATCCCTCAATGGTGCTCAAAGCAAGGGTAGAGTGAGATGTCCACACACTTCACCTGCATGTGCATGCATGAAATTCTGCTTTAAGCTCAGTTTAAAAAAAAAAAGCTAGTGAAAAAACCACGAAATGCTTTAGCAGGCATTATTTTTTTTACAAAGCACTGGGTTGGACATAGTGTTTTGAATGGTTTTCTCGATTCAAAGTAGGACGAATGTCAGGTGAGGATGATAATTGCTTTGGTCATCCATCACCATCAAAGACAGATGCCAACATTGAAAAAAAAGGGAAAAGGCTATTCACGAAGATTGCAATATAAGGATCCAAGACATTGCAAGTGCTGTGGGACGATGGTCTAATCAACTATTCATTTGGTAGTAGTCACATACAGTTCAACATATGCACCATAACCCAGCTAATCAGGAATTAACTTGAACTTATGAAGTTCTCCCTTGAAGACAACTTGGGGTATGCTGGTAATTCCCCTTATTGATGAAAGTAGGTTGTTGAAGTTTTGGTGCCTCTTATTAAGGAGTGATTTCTGTGTGCAAATTTGTGACCAATCACTTTAGAATTTTCCAGGTGTACATAATGACTTACCTTTCTTATGATATCTCTGAAGCATTCCCAGTAATTTAAGTGCCTGACTGAATTTATAATGCCAGTGGTTCTCTGTACATTCTCCAGGTCTTCAATTTCTTCTGCCTTAAAAGGGGCTGTTACAGTGCAGAAACATTCCAGGATAGAGAGAACAAATGACTTGAAGAGTATCATTATTTGCTTAGCAAGTCCTATTTTGAAGGTTCTAGTTATCCAGCCTATCATTTTCATGCTGTTGTGACAAACTGTTGTGACCCTTGAAACTGAGAACTTCTGACATTATCATTCCTAAGTCCCTCACATTAGTTCATTTTATACTCCATTTCAGGCTTCTTTCCCTCATTTTTTCCATAATGGAGTAACTGACATTTGTCCTTACTGAACATCATATTGTCTGTGGCTAACTGAAAGACTGTTCATATCAGCTTGAAGGTTTGCTGTGCCCTCAATAGCTACCACTCTCATACAAATTTTAGAACCGTCTGGAAAGGATGATACGGTGCTTTGATTTCTGTGTTGAATATGAGAATGGGAAAGTACTGTGCCATGGAGAACAGAACTCACTATGGCGGCCACCGATTTCGTTCTATTCGCTACTACTCTCTAGGTTTTATTTGTTAATTAGCTGAATATCCATGTGCCTACTTTTCAGATTATTCCCTTGGCATGCATATTGTGTGCTATTACCCCATGGTTGCACTTCTTTTTTTTTTTTTTGCAAAGTCTATGTATACAACATCTGAATTTTGCCTTCCACTGCATCCAAGACCATGTCATAATGGTCCGGTATTGCGAGAGGCAGGAGCAATCCGTTCTAAATCCATATTGCATGCACTGAGCTACAGGGGAATGGTGTTTTGCAATACAGGGATACCCCTCTCAGATCACGAGGCAACCAAAACACATCTAGCTCATTATGAGTAGTATCATGTGTTGAGTTGTCATACTATGTTGTGTTGTTATGCTGTGCTGCCATATTGATGTGTTGCCATAGTGTGCTGACAATGATGTGTTGCCATAGTATGTTGACAATGAAGTGTTGCCATACTGTGTTGACACTTATGAATTGCCATACTAATGTGTTACCATATTAATGGATTGCCATACTGATGCACTGACACACTGATGTGCTGCCATACTGATGCACTTGCATACTGATGCCATGACATACTGATGTGCAGTTTTGCCATATTAGTGTCGTATTGCCATACCGATGTGTTACCATATTAATGCATTGCCATATTGAGGCACTGACACACTGATGTGATTGCCTTACTGATGTGTCATGCTATACTGATGTGTCATATTGCCATAATGTGTCATATGGCCATACTGATGTGCCACATTACCTTGCTGTGTAGTGATGCCATAATGATTTGTCATATTGCCATACTGATGTTATATTGCCATACTGATGTGTTGTATTGTCATACTGATGTGTCATATTGCCATACTGATGTGTTGTATTGTCATACTGATGTGTTATATTGCCATACTGATGTGTTGCATTGACATACTGATTTGTCATACTGCCATGCTGATGTGTTGTATTGACATACTGATGTGTTGTATTGTCATACTGATGTGTCACATTGCCATACCGATGTGTCGTATTGACATACTGATGTGTCATATTGCCATATTGATGTGTCATATTGTCATACTGATGTGTCGCATTGCCATACTGTGTCGTAGTACCTTGAAGATTGAGACACTTATGCAACATATGCGAATCTTTATTCAGCATCCTGAATAAAGATTCCCAAATGCTGCATAAGTGTCTCAATCTTCAATTTGTCAGTTTTTCAAACCATTCATCGCAACTGTCGTAGTACCTTACTGATGTATCGCACTGCCATACTGGTGTGGCATGTTGATTAATAAGACATGTGAAACACCTGTGTAACTTTGCAGCAACGTTTTGCCTGCCTCAAGTGCAGGCCAATATAAAACACTGGAGACAGTAGGAGTAACTCTGTGGTGATCAGTCCTTTCAGCTTTGATAGAAGGCTGAAAAACTCACCACCTCCCATCAAGGCTGAGGGATTGGATACCTGGAGGGTGTTCCAGGGGTCAACGCTCCCGCGGCCCGGTCCACGACCAGACCTCGTGGTGGATCAGGGCCTGATCAACCTGGCTGTTACTCCAGGCCGCACGTAAACCGACGTTTGAACCACAGCCCGGCTGTTGGTCATTTGACCGAGGCCTTTTTTGTCCTGGCTTACCCCGTGAAAATATAGTGTATCACGAGAGGTGATACATTATAATTTCTTCATCACTGTATACACTTTTATACAGTTTTGTATTCAGCTGAAGAAACCTACCGCACAGGTAAAACATTTCGGTAATAATGATAACTAACTGTTGCAACACATAAGAACATAAGAAAGGAGGAACACTGCAGGAGGCCTGTTGGCCCATACTAGGCAGGTCCTTTACAATTCATCCCACTAACAAAACATTTGCCCAACCCAATTTTCAATGCCACCAAAGAAATAAGCTCTGATGTGAAAGTCCCACTCAAATCCAACCCCTCCCACTCATGTACTTATCCAACCTAAAAACTACCCAAAGTCCCAGCCTCAATAACCCAACTAGGTAGACTGTTCCACTCATCAACTACCCTATTTCCAAACCAATACTTTCCTATGTCCTTTCTAAATCTAAACTTATCTAATTTAAATCCATTACTGCGGGTTCTCTCTTGAAGAGACATCCTCAAGACCTTATTAATATCCCCTTTATTAATACCTATCTTCCACTTATACACTTCGATCAGGTCTCCCCTCATTCTTCGTCTAACAAGTGAATGTAACTTAAGAGTCTTCAATCTTTCTTCATAAGGAAGATTTCTAATGCTATGTATTAATTTAGTCATCCTACGCTGAATGTTTTCTAACGAATTTATGTCCATTCTGTAATATGGAGACCAGAACTGAGCTGCATAATCTAGGTGAGGCCTTACTAATGATGTATAAAGCTGCAGTATGACCTCTGGACTTCTGTTGCTTACACTTCTTGATATAAATCCCAGTAATCTATTTGCCTTATTACATACGCTTAGGCATTGCTGTCTTGGTTTAAGGTTGCTGCTCACCATAACCCCAAGTCCTTTTCGCAATCTGTATGGCTAAGTTCTACATCATTTAACTTATAAGTACTAGGGTTATGGGCACTCCCAAGCTTCAGAACCTTGCATTTATCTACACTGAACTGCATCTGCCACTTTTCTGACCAAGAATAGTTTGTTTAAATCCTCCTGAAGTTCCATAACATCTACGTTTGAATCAATTATCCTACCTATCTTTGTGTCATTGGCGAATTTGCTCATATCACTAGTAATTCCCTCATTAAGATCATTGATATATATTATAAACAACAACGGGCCCAAGACTGATCCCTGTGGAACGCCACTTGTTACAGATCCCCACTCGGATTTAACCCCATTTATGGACTCTCTGCTTCCTGTCAGTGAGCCATGATTGTTAGGTAAGACACATATGCAACAGTTAGGTATCTTTATTTCGAGAAATAAAGATACCTAACTGTTGCATATGTGTCTTACCTAACAATCTGTCGGTATTTTATACCATTTTAATGTTCAGTGAGCCATGACTCGATCCACGAGAGCACTTTTCCCCCAATGCCATGAGCTGCCACTTTCTTTAACAGTCTATGGTGCAGAACTCTATCAAAAGCCTTACTAAAATCTAAGTAAATAATATCAAATTCTTTATCGTGGTCAACAGCCTCAAAAGCTTTACTGAAGAAAGTTAATAAATTAGTTAGACAAGACCGGCCTCTTGTGAATCCATGCTGAGTATCATTAATCAAGCTATGCTTATCGAGATGGTTTCTTATAATCTCAGCTATAATTGACTCTAGTAATTTGCCTACAATTGAGGTCAGGCTTATTGGGCGGTAATTTGACGGTAACGATTTGTCCCCTGTTTTAAAAATAGGAATTACATTAGCCATCTTCCACATATCAGACACTACACCTGTTTGAAGAGATAAATTAAAAATATTAGTTAATGGCTCACAGAGTTCCATTTTGCATTCCTTAAGAACCCTTGAAAAAACCTCATCACGACCCGGCGACTTATTTTGCTTCAGTCGGTCTATCTGCTTCACAACCATTTCACTAGTGACTGTGATGTTACATAATTTATCTTCTAGCCCACTATAAAAATTAATTACTGGAATATTGTTAGTGTCTTCCTGTGTAAAAACTGAGAGAAAATAATTATTAAAAATCGAGCACATTTCATTCTCTTTGTCAGTAAGGTGCCCATAGTTATTTTTAAGGGGACCTATCTTATCTCTAACTTTTGTTCTATAGACCTGGAAAAAACTTTTTGGGTTAGTTTTAGAATCCCTAGCAACTTTAATTTCATAGTCCCTTTTAGCTTTTCTTATCCCCTTTTTAATGTCCCTCTTAATGTCAATATACTGATTCATAAGATGACCCTCACCTCTTTTGATACGCCTATAAATTCCTTTCCTATGCCCTAGTAGATATTTGAGCCTATTATTCATCCATTTTGGGTCATTTCTATTTGATCTAATTTCTTTATATGGGATAAACGTTCTTTGAGCAGCATGTATAGTGTTCAGAAAACTGTCATATTGATAGCTCACTTCGTTACCCCAGTCAACAGATAAGTGTTCTCTAAGCCCATCGTAATCTGGTAAGCGAAAATCTGGGACTGTTACTGAGTTATCGCTACTATCGTACTTCCATTCAATGCTAAATGTAATTGATTTGTGGTCGCTAGCACCTAGTTCCTCTGAAATTTCTAAATTATTAACAAGGGATTCATTGTTTGCCGTAACTAAGTCAAGCAGGTTATTTCCCCTTGTAGGTTCTGTCACAAACTGCTTCAAAAAACAATCCTGAACTACTTCTAAGAAGTCGTATGATTCTAAATTCCCAGTCAAGAAATTCCAATCAATATGACTAAAGTTAAAGTCTCCTAGAATTACTACATTATCGTGCCTTGTGGCCTTAACAATTTCCTCCCATAGTAGTCTCCCCTGGTCCCTATCTAAGTTTGGGGGACGGTATATCACTCCTAAAATCAGTTTTTCATGCCCCTCTGAAAATTCTATCCAAACAGACTCTGTATGTGTTACTTCAGACTTAATACCCGTTTTTATGCAACAGTTCAAGCGATCTCGGACATACAATGCCACCCCACCCCCCTTCCCGATACTTCTATCTACTTGGAACAATTTAAAACCCTGAATATGACATTCCGCAGGCATGTCCCGACTTTTTGAATTAAACCACGTCTCAGTTAAGGCAAATACATCAATGTTACCTGCACTAGCAACTAATCTCAACTCGTCCATCTTATTCCTAGCACTAAGGCAATTAGCATAATAAACATTGAAAGACTCTCCTTTCTCTTTACCCTTCCTGCTCATTTCTGTTTTTCTACTAAACCTATTACTGTCCTTATCACCCAAAGTCCCTGGCTTTTCAATATCTACCTCGTTCTGCTTATTACTAGTTCCCCTAGAACTCGTAATATTACTACACTGGGACTTCACTGTTTTCCTGCCAAAACCCATACCACTAACTATTCCTAGTTTAAAGTCCTAACTGCTCCCTCCACTGCAGTTGCCAGTGCTACCACCCCAGACCTAGATAAGTGAACCCCATCCCCATGTCTTGTCAACTTGTACCATCAATAATATGATGTGATGTGTTGCCATATTGATGCATCACGGTGTCATGTTGATGGTTTATTCAGCCATCTCTTTTAGGATGATAAACAACTCACTGGTTATCAAGTCTTCATTTAGGAAGATAAAGAACTCACTGGTTAAGTCTATCTTTTAGGAAGATAAAGAACTCACTGGTTAAGTCTATCTTTTAGGAAGATAAAGAACTCACTGGTTAAGTCTATCTTTTAGGAAGATAAAGAACTCACTGGTTAAGTCTATCTTTTAGGAAGATAAAGAACTCACTGGTTAAGTCATCTTTTAGGAAGATAAAGAACTCACTGGTTAAGTCATCTTTTAGGAAGATAAAGAACTCACTGGTTAAGTCTATCTTTTAGGAAGATAAAGAACTCACTGGTTAAGTCATCTTTTAGGAAGATAAAGAACTCACTGGTTAAGTCATCTTTTAGGAAGATAAAGAACTCACTGGTTAAGTCTATCTTTTAGGAAGATAAAGAACTCACTGGTTAAGTCATCTTTTAGGAAGATAAAGAACTCAGTGGTTATTCAGTTGAGTTGTTGGCACTGAACTTCAAACACACAAATTACTACTAATATATACTTGAACGAAGACAAGGAAGATACATCGTGATTTACACCTGGAAAATTCTAGGACTGGTCTTAAACCTACATACAGAAATCACTCCCTACGAAAACAACAGACGATGCAAACTGAAAATTAAGAGTGCCACGAGTATTCTAAGAGATAATAATAAGTGTAATTGGCCCAAGACTTTTCAACAGCCTCCTTTCATACATAAGAGGAGGGAACTTGACAAGTTCTTTAAGTCAGTACATGATCAGCCGGGCTGTGGTCTGTATGTCGGACTGCATAAAGCCAGCATTAACAGCCTGCCTGGTTGATCAGGCTTTCATTCAAGGGATCTGGTCTGTGACCGTGACGCGGGAGCGCTGACACCCGAAAACACCCTTCAGATATCCTTCAGTTATCACCTCAGATCAGAGGG